TGTTATATATGTCTGTGTGTTCTTTTGTGTATGTGCATATGGAGGTCATAGATCAACTCCTAGTGTCTACTTCAACTGCTCTCTGCCTTAATTTATGAAACAGGGTCTGAAATAGATTGTGACACTTAACCACTTGGCTTGATAGGCTAGCCAGTGAGCTTCAGGATTCTGCCTGATTCTTCCCTGCTCCTGGTCCTGGAATTACATGCATAAGCATGTCTGGTTTTTCATTTAGATGCAAAGTATCTGTCCTCAAGTTCTTAAACTAGTGTGCAAGCATTTCCTCAACTTAGTCATCTCCCAAACACCACGTTTGTGCTTTTGCTGTCAGACAAAAACTTGTGATAAAACCCTGTAAGATGTGTTATTGTCTGCATTACTGAGAAGATACTATCGTATCTAAGTTCTTATGAGTTCACGGTTGTTCATTTTCTGCATTTTCTTACAACTCGCAGCATTTTAAAAGAAAAGGATCTTCATTACAATTTTATAAAACTGCATCCCCAAGTGAGGAGCTAGATGGAGTCAATAACCTATTAAACAGGGAGAATTAGTCTTCTCCAGAGAAGACCCATGAAAGTTTATCCAATCCCAAGTTGATCTCTAAACATGTACATGTGAACAACCCTAGATGAACTCAGTAAGTTACACACACACACACACACACACACACACACACACACACACACACACACTAATAGTAGTTAAAGAAGAAATAATGAACTTGAGAGTAAGCTGGAGGGTATCTTGGAGCGTTTAATCAGGGACAGAGTAAGGTAAAAACTGATTTAACTACACTATTTGAATATTTAATGTTTAATTAAATTTTAGAAAATGAAGGTGAAAAAAATTGTGATTTCTCTACTATGCTGAAGAGTAAATTTTCCTCATTTCCTTGAAATCAGAAAAGTAGTGGCCACTCTTCAGGATAATGTGAATTCTGTTATTATATATTCTTTATCAGTCATTAAAAAAAACTTACTCTTCTCTGATTTCTTCCTATATATAAAAAAAACTGCTTCACACAGTATACCTTTCCATAGCTTACAGTGGGAACTGTTTTGATTTAATAGAATACATATGGGTTGATATTTTCACTTTAAAATTTTGTATTCAGAATGTTTGATAAACTTGTTGTCTCTCATTCTAGTTATTTTGAAGTACTGCTGGTCCTTTTTGTTTATAAAGTTTCTAATCTCATATTGAAGGCAAGATTTAGTTTTTTGAGACAAGGTGAAATAAGTTTTAAAACAATATAGTTTCTTTAAGATAATATTTGCATTTAGAGAGGGAGGTTTAATTTGCATCTAAGCCATAAAGTTCTCAAGTCATATTTTAGTAAGCTTGTTCTGTTTTGAAACTGAAATAGGAGTAAGAATAGAATATCACAGCGTGGAGTTAAGCACAGTTGATCCTGGATCATGGGTCTCTTAACTTTTCAAGAATGTGAGCACTGGAGTTCCAAAGCTGTTCAAACAGAGTCTGAAGTATCTGGTAAAGCCTGTTTCACTCACAGATAATTACCTACTGCACTGTGCTGGATCCCACATGACCCTGTCCCTTGATTCACCAAACAGGTGATTTTTATTGGGTCTGATATAAGTCTACCTGGTTCTTGGTTTCTTCTCCCTATGTTCAGCTGAACTGAAAAAAAACAGACAGCAAATCAACTTATTGGATATAGGTCTATTTTTTTTTAAAGGCAAACACAAATAGAGTAAGTGGCATTAGTGTTTTCTTTTTTCTTGAAAATGGTTGACTCACTCCTACATAAACTTCTAGTTAAATGACCTTGTACTGAGTATCTCAGCCCTCATTAGAATTTAGTTGCTACATTGTGTCTCTTGCAGCATAAGTTCTAATATTCTGATTAATACCTACATGATAATTTTGATACTTTTTAAGACTCATAATTTTTCTCTATGATACCTGTGATACATCCTCAAACTGAACAACAATGAAAGTTGAACATTAGCCTTAATTAAGCCAAATAATGCCATTTTGAATCAACTATTCATTGAGAAACTTCCACTATGGTTTTATTTTGAGAACACATGTAGACATTATATCTTCCACTCCAAATATTCTTCAACAAGATATTTTCATGTGTGTATACCCATGTGGTTAAGTGTTGGCAATTGATTTCATGGCCATTTCCTTTTTGTGCCATTTCACAGGCAATCACAGTTTCTTCTGTATGGATCTTTACCTTAGCCACAATTTCCTCTTTAATCCATTTGAAACTCATTACTTGAACAGATTCACAGTAGAATACATTTGTGACATACCTCATTCATGGTTTTCTACAAAAAGTTTAGTTTCTCAAACTTTGCACGATATTAATAAGTGCTGTAAAACATTTAATGCTATGAAACACCTAATATAAAGTATTGTCACTCAGTATTGTGTGAACACCTTTGTGTATAGAGTCTGTCTAAAAAATAGGTGGTACATTGATTTTTTTTAAATCTATACTATATTTATGTAAAGAAGTATTAACTCTGGTTGATGAAGCATGCTGTGAGGCATCATTGGTGTGTGACTCCATGGCTATTTCTTGCAGTGAAAGAAAGTAAGCAGCCCTCTGAATTCTATGAAAACTTTCTTTCTTATTGATAAAACTGTAGATTTTAAATATAACCTTTTGAGGGTTGAGTGGCCAATTTACAAAGCAAGGATTCTCATTACTATTTTGATTCAAATAATAGACTTAGAACCTGCTTTCTACTTAGAATAATTAAACAAGTCTTTACTTTCAGAGTCTACATCAAATGCAGGACATAGAATGGCTTGGTTAACATTTTTTTTTATGGCAAATAAGTCCTTCCAGATTACAAAAGGACCATGTTTTTTGTTCATATTTAGATTAATATCAGGGACTTATAAGCAATATATCATTATAATTAATAGCTAGTTAGACTTAAGTAGCAGTGTAATGTTTTATTCTACAAAATCTGGGAAATAATTTAGCACTCATAACTATATAGAAGACATTGACTTTGTTGCAGAGTTGAAAGAATACACACACTTTCAACCTTCAGATCTCTGTGAAAAAACCTGGTGAATATATGGATATATTTAAAATACTGGTAATTTTGCAAAAAAACTCAAAGCAAAAACCGAATGGAATGTTATAACCGGACCCTCATGATCCCGTCGGAGTAAGGAGAGATGACATGTAGATTCATTGCATTCCCCAAGGAGTACACTCTCCTCAGTAGAGGAAGTTTCCTTGTTAGCCTAATCAGACCATGAGAATCCTGAGGCTGTTTTTCCTCCAACCCCTCTTGTCTTTTGATTTATCCTTACACAGGAATGCGCCCCATTATGATGTTTGAAAAACTGATAAAGCAGCATGTGGGAAGCTAAGATGTTGTAAAAAGCTTAAATTTCATTTATTCCTCAGGCTTAGAACACAAACTGAGAGTTATTCGAATTAAACTCAGTTCCCAAACTTCCAAACTGGAATATGACAGCACATGGTGATTCAAACAGAGTCACAGTCCCAAAGTTTGCACAAGGGTGCAATCAGAAAATGTCATAACTTTTGGGGACATTATAGTCTAATAAATTTAAAGATTAAATGAAAAACATCAATTCCTTCAAATACTTTATATCTCATGTGCTCAAAAATTCTGATTTACCAGGAATACATAGATGAGGTAATTTCAAAGAGTAGTACTTTGATTTTCTATAGTTTTTTTTTTTTACATAGAGCCCCCAAAACAAAAGAAAGGAATATTCTTTTAAAAAATTTAAAAAGCCCCAAGAAGTTGTAAAGAAAATGAGATTGTTTGGAAAATATTAAAACCATTAGACTTGTTTTTACATATTTTTGTTAACAATAGCTTGACTTTTGAAGATTTCATAAAATTTTCTCATCATTAGGTCACTATGTAGTAAAATGTATGCAGATATGTATTTTGAATCTAATGGTATTGGTAAATCGGATATGTGCAAGTCTTCAGCCAGCAGAATACCTTGCACTTGGTGAGTGGTTCCACGGTGCCTACTTTGTCCTCACAACAGCCCTGTGAGGTAGGCAGAGAAGTCATTGCTATTCTACACTGCAGTTGGGGACTCTGAAGTTCAGAGTCTCGGGGTGACCTGTTCAGGGGTCATATGCGTGATTCCTCTACTTCTTTGGCCTGTTCTTACCTATTTTCCTGTAATGACCATGTGTGCAAGGACTAACCAGGGGAGTGAGAAAATGTGGACCCACATGAAGGTTGAAGATGGATAAACAACTGGATAAACCACAAAGGGATCAGACTCACCTTTGGACTTACATATTATCGATGACTACCTAGAATGGAAATACATGAACTGTGCTGAAGTGTAAACCAGCAGGCAAAACATTTGACAACCACCTTCAGATATAAATGTACTAAAATGAATGGGGATCGAGAGAGAGAGAGAGAGAGAGAGAGAGAGAGAGAGAGAGAGAGAGAGAGAAACAATGAAAAATTTCCCGTGTTTTATACAGGATGAGGTTTGTAATTATATTTGAAATCGAAACTTCCCTGACATATCTGATGACTGGAGTCTATTCATTCCGTCAGTTTAAAAACAGAGTGTCCCCGATTAACATAAACGATGATGGACAGGACAGAGACCTTGGTCTCCATGCCGAGGACAGTGCATAACCAGGGCACTGACCTTGCATATGTTAGAGTACAGGCAGCAAATCCCCATGCTCCATCAGCTTTGAATGGAGAAAAGAGGTGGGGAGGGCAGAGGGGAATGAAGTATTCAAGTCCACGACAGAGTTGCCTGGTTTGTTGGGAATAACTCCCGTAATTGAAGCAAAGGACAAGAATAATGAGCTCTGTCACAATAACAGATTAGAGGTCTCAAAGGTCCACCCAGAGAAGTCGTATAGGAGGTTGTGACTACCTCTGCATGTTTCCATGGGTAGCGTATGATACTGTAGGGATCTGACAGTGATGTGAAGCCCCCTTTGTAAATTTTGCTTTAGGAAAAAAGAAATCACAACATAGTGAAATAAATATTCATTGTTTGGCTTAGTTCAGATATTCTTAATTAAACAGTACCATAGACTTTATTGAGCATTTGAAAATATACACAAGGAACAATAGCTTTTTCTCTGTACTTATTTTATATTTGACTTTCTTCCAATAACCCACTTTTGATCATAAAAAGGGCACTTGTTTCTACAGGAGCTGTGTACAGCTTGCTCAGTTCCAAGTACTGTTTCCGCTCGACTTCCTTGTCATATTGAGGTCATATCTCCACTTGGTCAGGAAGCAAATTCTACAAAGCTCCAAAAAAATTAACCGCCTATGTTGTTCTTTCAGATTCCATCTCTCCATAGAGTTCTGCTAACTTTTTAAACTCTGGCCCCCAGTCTCCAAGGTAGTGATAATCCTGGTCTGATTGCGTGGTTGCTGAGTCCAAAGAGCTTATAGACCCAGCTTCTGACCTCTGACCCTCATAGGCATAAGTCTGTAGAGAGTCATAAGGGGGTACGCTGGGGTCCAGGTCTGCTTCTGCCAGTCTTTGCTTAATAAACTCCTGAACATCTATACTCTCCAGGGTGGACAATGTCGGGTGTCTAGGAGTGAGCTTCACTTCAGGCCGAATGTCTCTGCGGTACTTGAACTCCTCTGCAGCAGAAGGATTTCTCAAAGCTGTGATGTCAAAGGCCTCAGTGTCTTCTTCCCCGCCTCCCTCATCATCGTAAGTGACCACATTCTCCCGCACATCTTCTTCTGAAATGATCAAGGGCTCTTTCTTGCTGCGCCTCAGGGTGATAAAAAGGACCACAATGGCTGAAGGAAAAATGGAAACAGGATGAAGTTAGAAGAGAGAAGGCAATGCTTGGACTTTAAGTATTAGTGTTTTCCACAATGTTTTCTACACCTTCTAGAGTCAGTTCAGCATTGCAACACAGCCTTGATCTGCATGCTACTGAATGAGCCAATAGACATTGGGATAGTTCAGAGAATGTCTAAACTGATAACCTCAGTAAACCATTGCAGATTTACTAATCTGTGTGATACTATATTATTCTCTTTTGCTAAGATTGTGTCTTGACACTCACTGCAGTATAAACAATAACTATTCATTGTTTAGTGTGATGGAAAGAAATCTTTTAACTGGAAAAGGTCTGTGTTTATAATTTACAAATAATTATTTTGTATGGATATTAAGAAGGCAGAGCATATTTCTATAAAAATAATCAAAGTCAATATTTTTCTATAAAGCTGCAAATAGTTTTTACTTTATGCACAATTTTTGCTCTATAGGAACTGTTCATTTTGCATTATTTTTCTCATAACTTATGTATTCCTCACAGCAGAATTTTGGTTCTACACAATTATGAAATGAAGAAGCAGAGATTAAAAAAAGAGGAAAATAATACAACAACCCCAGACTTATTGAGGAAGACACTAAATAAAAGAACTGAGAGAATGGGTAAAGATGTCAACCATTTAAAATAATGGTTTCGGTAGCAAAATTTCCTATTAATTGATACAGACATTGTATACACAGGTTAATGCCTAGGCACAAATATTCAAGCATGTGAACAACTAGACTGTGTCTTAGGGTCTCTCACCAAAAGTTGTTAGTAGTATTGTTAACACTGGATGAAGTCATAGAAAGAAGTCTTGACACCTGGTTTTGGTCATTTCTCAGTATTTTATGCCTTTACACTTCAGCAAATAGAAAAGGGATTTCAGTTAAACTTTGTTGTAGAAAGTATGCACATAAAAAAGGAAAAAATAATCTACACTATTACAGTATAGAGAGATCATTTGTATTCTTCACAAAGTAAATGCTTCAAATTTTGTGTGCATTACACTTACATAATGAAGTGTGGAGGATAATACTATGCTTCTTAAGTTGTATATGTGTCTATTTTGCAAAAGTTTAAAAAGTATTCATGGTAAGGCTTGTTTAGATTTACTTATTTTGAATTTATGTGTATAAATGCTATTCCTGCCTGTATGTCAGTGAGTTGCATGCATGCCTGGGGCCCATGGCTAACAGAAGACAGTGCTGGAGCTCCTCTTGTAAGATGTTATATGCATGCTGGAAAGCAAACCTGTGTTCTCTGCAAAAGGAGCTAGTGCCCTTAACTGCTGGGCCACCTTCCAACTTTCCTCAAGATGTGTGTTGCTTCAAAAAAGAATAGTAGTTATTTAAACCATGAATCTAATGATTTTCAAATAAGAGGATTATTTGCTCGTAACCAGTGACTCCCATAGATAATACATACAGGCATAACATAATAGTAAAATCCCGGATAATTACATAACCTGCATCATTTTCAGAGTGAAAGGGAACCATTTATATTTGCGTGACATTAAGGCATAGATTATCTCTCTAGTTACAGGCAATTGTGTTAACCCAGAGACCATAATGGAAAGGCACAGACTAGATTGTGGTCCTGGCTGTTTTCATACATTTTTGTCAGTTATTGGTGTGTAACGTGACATCAAGTAAATACCCTACAAAGAATCTTGGTGGGAGTGAACAAGAGAAATTTCCATTAAAGTGGAGACAGGCTAGGTGATTGCAGACTCTTTGTGGTATAAATAACCTTTCTAAGAACATTACTGTTAATTGTTGCTATAAAATTATTTCTGGTTTACTGTTATACTGTCCTTCTAACTGTTCTTGAGAATGCCTAGAGCCCTTGAAACTGTTACTAAACATTTCTATCAAATCCCATGAAAAAAGAACACATCATTTTAAGAACACGAGTGAAGATAATAATTAGAGACAAATAACTTATTGAAAATTTGGAAATGAAATTAAAATATTAAAAAGAAATTAACCTGGTCTTTGAAATCATGAACATGATATGGATACGCCATTTTAAATTATTTGGTTGGGAAATACAATATCAAAGAGCCATAGTGTTATAAATAAATATTATAATTTTATATATCATATATATTATAAATATATATTACAAATTGCATACTTCTTTGTTTAAAATTATCAATCATCTTGGGTTACTTGGAAATAGATTTTAGTTGTACACCTAGCATGGAATCTCAATTATTGCTGTATTTTTGAGATGTTATCATTCTTCAGTGTTCCATCATTTGTTAGTAGATTTCATTTTCCTCTCTTAGTGAACTTCTTTTTTTTCCTGTCTTAGTTTCAAAATTACAAAGAATTTGAGATCATTGTTATTATCTTTCCTTAGGTAATTTTGAGACATATTTTGATGGAGCTCAAGCTTCCTCAAACTTGCTATATAGCATAGGATGACTTTGAATTCCAGATCTTCCCATTCCCTTCTCAGCACTACTGAGATTCCAGATACATTCTGCTATGCCTGGTTCATATGGTTCTGAGGACTGAACTCAATACTTTGTGGACACCAAACATCCTCTATATACATGCTACTGAATTTGGACCCCAATATTATTTAGTTTTAAATGATTAATCTATTTAGTATCATTTTATGAGTATAGACATTTTGGAAGCATGTATATCTGTGTACCACTTATCTGTAGTTGTCTTCCGAGGCCATAAGAAGACTTTGGATCCCCCAGAACTAGAGATAAGGACTGTGATGAGTCAATATGTGGTGCTGGGAATTGAACTCAGGTCCTCTCTAATGACAGCAGATGCTGTGAACTGTTAAACCAATTTTCCAGCCTCCCTGATAGTATATTTTCATAAACAAAAATTCAAATGAATTGTTCTTCATTTCTTAATTTTACTCCCAAGGAAACACAAGTTTAGTTAACTACTTTTGTACTGGTTTTTCAGATTATTTTTCCTATCAATTATTTATCATCCCCATATTGGGATTGCTCAGGGGTTTCCAGATTCATACATACCCCTTGTGTGGTCTTCATTTGCTTTTATTGTGACATGAATTACAACACACTCCCTGCAAGTTTACATCATCACAGATGTGTTTACTCAAAATGTCTGTTGATCCTTTTATATGCCAAAATATCTTGGTATTAAATGTGGTAGAAATGAAGTATCACAATCATAGTGATTATTTTGATTAGCTCCACAAATGCTATTGGCAGCCTCTGGTCATGGCAGTTATCACTGAAAATTTCCAACTTGGAAACCGAGAGTCTCTCGAGATTATTTAATTGAGAACAGATTGGCAGTAACTGCTCAGCCTTCTTCTGTTTCTCACTTTCTTCTTTTTAATTTTTAAAAGACACATTTCAATGCCTAAAGGAATTAGCAAATGTACAATGTACATAGGAACACAATTCCAAAGGTCTGAGTTGCCCTGCTCCCTTCTCTTCCACATATTACTATAAAAGACTAAATGGAAAAGCTTAATGCAGCGTGGCTTGCTACAATGAATATAGTGAATATTGCTGTCTTGCTACAACGAATAAGGTCTTGCTATAATGCACTAAAACACTGAGTGCTATGTGGCTGGATGTGATCAATAATTTTTAATGAAGTTATTTAACTGCTAAGTTGCTCCTGACATTATCAGTAGACCTGTGGTATAACGTATTGTCTGTTTTCTCTGCCGCCATTTTCACTTTCGACTTTCAAGACACTGTGTGTTACTGATTTTCTTTGTCTCTCACCCTACCTTCCCTCCTCTCCTTCTCTCTCTCTGTCTCTTTTCTTCTTTACTTTTCTCAGCTCCATCTTTCTTTCCTTTTGAATCTCAATATACCTGCACCCAGGTTACTCCTGGTCTTCCCTCCTGAGCATGTTCTTTTGCTATGTCACTTGCACAAAGTGTTTCTCTGCTGTGCAAAGCTTGCAAAGATTCAGGGCATCCTCCACAAAATATAGTCTTCCTTGACACCACCCAAACTCTCTCAAATATCGAAATAACATGGGGTATTTGACTTTTACACAAAGTATTCTATTGTGACTTTTTCTTTCGCTTCATTCAAATTATGCTGGTAAACACCATATCAAAGAACTCCTCGCATTAGCATCATTAAAAAGTTTGGTCAGGAGAAAACTCATGACGTCATGATTCTTAACCGTGTACGCGTTCCTTACTCTGCACTTCCTCTCTAGAGTCGCCATACTTGTTAGAATCATAGGCACTTACCAAGGAGAATGACAACACAGAGGAGAATAGCAATCAGGGCTCCTGTGCTCAAGCCCGCGGAGGACAGGAAGGCTTCTGCATGGCAGGTCCGCACACGCCCATCTCTCTCGCATGCACAAACCCTGATTGTGAGGGTGCTGCTGCTGCTGAGAGAGGGGATGCCACCGTCAGAGATCATAATGGGCAGATAATACACATCCTGCACAGTTCGACTAAATCTCCTCCGCCTTGTCAGAATGCTGGCTGTGTTATCTACGACAGACATAAGCAAAACAAAACACGCTTAGTAAATCTGCCGTGAAAAATTCACATTTCCTTTCATGGATACAACAGGTATAGGATTTTTTTTTTTTTTTCAGTTTGTAAATGGACACTCCACCATAAAGGGGCAATTATCAAAGGAAGAGCAAATATTGGTTTTCAAATTGAGAAACCTATTTGAAAAGTTAAGAGACCTAGCATCAGGAAAAAAGATTAGAGTGGCCTTACAGAGAAGAAGGTAAAACAATAAAAACTTTGGACGTAGACCTAGTCACTGAGACATTTAAAATGTGAAAAGGGCATGAAGCCAGTAGAGAGCCGTAGGAAACTTCCAGAACAAAGACTGTGGTAGTGAGTGATTAGGCAGACATTTCTATTCTTTCAGCAAATGAATCATCGGGTCCCTTCTATTCCATTGATCTTGAATGCACCACAAAACAAGACAGCAAGACTCCGACAAAACAAGACAGCAAGATTCCTGATAAAGAGACAACATCTTTATAGATCATACAAAGGCACTGAGCTGAAATGAAACTGGGAACTTCTTCCACACTGTCTTTTACTTTGATGCAGGAGCTCTGCAGGCTGAGGCGAGGAAATGCTGATGACCTGACCTAGGTGGACCCTGTGTACCACAACACCGAACCGCCTGCTACTTAGCACTTTTGATGAGGATACACACTAGAATTACAGCTAAGGGTGACTAGTCATACAAGAAATCAAAGATATTTTTCTATGGTACTTTGAATTTTTTAGTAGAAGTTTTATGAAATGGTGACATAAAACTTTTATTTTTTTTTTCAGCCAAGAATCTGACTTTTAAAAAGAAAAGGGAATTTAAGGAATGATGATCTCTCACCTAGAAAGGCAGAGCAGGGCAGAATAACAGGTTCCTGACAAAGGGTATTCTGTACTTCACTGGACCCACAAAAGCATATGTGGTGGAACACTCACCAAACTCAAACAAGATACTCTGAACATCAGGAATGAACATCAAAGATGGAAACAAAACACACAATCTCACAAATACAAGATAGGTGTTAAGTGGTAATAAACACACACACACACACACATACACACATATATGGATAGATATATGGACATACAGACATAGATGATAAATGAATAGATAGATAGGGAAATATAGATGAAGAGAATATAGAGCTTTCAAATAAACAATCTTAAAAGCATTCACTATATATATGCATATATATACATAATCAATTAATCTCTCCATTTAAAACATTAAAATATTACACACAAATTATGTCTACTGTTTTCAAAGTGTCATTTTAACCCCATAGTGTGAATGTAGAGTAAGCCACCTAACATGGTGATAAAATAAGAAAAAAAAATGACAAAGAATTTTGAGATAACAAGGAGGTCACATGTCATGTACAGATTTACATGAGCAGAAGGTCTCTAAGTAATTCCAGAGACTGGTAAATTTCTTTCAGAACATAATTAAGGTAATTGTGTTTGCAGTACATGCACTATCAGTTCAGTGCAGAAATACCAACACATCTGCTTTACTTCTTCAAAATAGTATAGTCCTTATTCATTTTATAAACCCATTTCTTATTCAGAATTGATTATGCAAGCCTATTGGAGGAATAAGCACAGATGTAAAATTTAATGTGAAAACTAAAAGAATAATGTGCTGACATAGAATAGTGAATATTTCACTTCAAAGGCATTGAAGTGCAATAATATCAAATATAATATTTTATTTATGGAACTTTTTAATGGATAACATTGTGGGATTTTTCATTAATATATTTATAGTAAAATACATTGTTGATATGAAAACTGTCTTTCCATCTCTGTTTCAGCAATGATAGAAGGCTACAGAATAGCAGTAGTAGAATGCAAATTAATATTGGCCATACAGTTTGGATATAATTTATTTAGTTAATTTTATGAACATCATGTTTCTATACATTTAAAAAAATTGCACATAGCTAGTTGTTGGTGGTACACACCTTTAATCAGAGCACTCGGGAGGCAGAGGTAGGCAGATCTCTGTAAATTTGAGGCCAGCCTGGTCTACAGAGCGAGTTCCAGGATAGGCTCTAAAGCTCCACAGAGAAACCCTGTCTCGAAAAAAAAAAAAAATCCCACATAATGGATCCTGATATTTGACTACTTTTAGTAAATTACATAGAGTTAAAGTTAAAATAAGACGTTTTAAAATATTTTAAGTGGCTAACAAAAATCCATTTAAAAGTCCAACATACCTTAGAAAATATGAAAACCACATGTTCCTGAAAGTGGAAAGCAATATATACAGATTCCTAGCAATTTCAATGGGTTCTTTGATTTTAGTAAGCCTGAGAGATTCTTTTTATACAAAGGACAGTAAAATAGACCATAGAAACAATCTTCCTAAACCCCACAAAACAGCAGAAACATTTGAGATTCTCAGCTGTGTGCCACTAATTAGAGCAAATGTTTAGGTTTTCTTTGTTGTTTATCTGAAGACAGCTGAGAAGAGCTGCTTTATCCAGAAGAATAGGCAGGCTTTTACATTTCAGTGTTCCCAGGTTCTCAGGCAGCTCTAACAGTCATTCATAATTTAATTCATGGAGCCCACACATGACACAGCTTTGTCTGGGTTTCCTGTAAAGCTTCACTTACATAATACGTTTTGATATGAACTCTACTCAGCAGGAGTTTGTCTTCTGCTGGTTTCTTATTACAATGTCATGGATTACAAAATAACTACCCCAATGAACTAACCTAAGGTGTGCTCCTTCCATGGCATAATCTGCTAGACTGTCTAGTGAAGACTTACTCCTCCTTTATCTCTTGCCTCCCCCTTCAAAAACCCCCAAGAACGACTACAATCTCAGTGCTTCAACTCTCAATTCTGCCTCTTCACTTGGGTTTGCAAACATCTTGCGGCCTCACTTGTGTGTCTGCCAGAACACCAACCTACCATCCAACACACCAGTATGTTCTCATTTGCACCCTGTAATGCCATCTCTTTGACCATCTGCCACACATCTTCTTCATAAACCTTTAAACTACAAAGAAACCCGACAATCTAATAATTCTGATTTTAGATTCATAAAAAGTTGTGGAAAATTATGTAGTATTTATTCACTATACTCTAATGACATGTTTTTTTTAAATAAAGCTTTCAGAGGAGACTAGAAATCGATGAAAATTACTGTTATTGTTATAAAATTTAGTAAAGTAGCACTTTTGAGGTTTTATTTTTTTTTCTTCTACTTTTGTCTGGTTGCTCTATCAGTCTCATAAAAAAAACATCTTGCAAAGAAGGCAGAAGAGTTTATCGACACTTTGGTAATGATCTTTGAAAACTCTTTAGTCCATTTTGACAATTAATTATACAGAAGGGTTATATGCATATACAATAGTGTATAGAAAAACAAAGAAGAACATATAAATGTATTTGAATCAAAATTGGATATCATGTCATCCGGAAATCTCCTCATGAAAAACGTGATAATTTAGGTGACAGGTAAAAGAAGCAAAAGATAGTAGGCAGGTGGGGGAATGCCAGTTTATACTAGCACTCAGGAGGCAGAAAGAGGAATGTGGAGGCTCATGGTCAGCTTGAGTCATGGCCAGGTCACAACCCAAGAATTATAATGATAGACATGTCTCAAAAGAAAATGAGAAAGATAAGGTGGTGGTTAGGTATGGGGCTGTTACATGTTCAAATTTAAAAACCAAACAATAAATACTAAAAAACCACAATCATGGCAAAATAATAAAATGGTAGAAGTGAATGGCAAAAGTAACTGTGGTAAATGTTTGAATTTGAACTCCAAGGAACTCCTCTACTTATTATTAACCACACACTTTTTTTTAGCACTAAAATGATGAGTCATTACAAAAGAAAAAAAAATCATGTTTAGTTACTCGATGTTTAATCCCTGAAGAAAGTCTTTAGTCAGTTCTGGCGAATACATATTTCCACTCTTTCAATTTGTTGAAATGCTCACGACTATTTATGCAGATGTTGGGTCATAGTACTTCTACAATGTCGGGGCTTCTTTGCAATAAGTATAATGAGGTAAAAATAGGGGTGACTGTGTCTTCAGAGGAAAACAAAGGAACATGTCTGGAATGGTAAAAATAGATTTTTATACTTTGTTTTCTATGATTTTTTTGAAGTTTTGTTTTCATAGAGCGCATGAGTCAGTTTTCTTTTTGTTCTTGGGAGTGGGAGGAAAAAAAAGTGAGAGACAGCGTGGGTTAGTAAGCCAAGCATTGGGAAATGGATCAAAAGGGCCGCATCAAAACAACACAAAAAATGAGTAGTGCTTGAAACATTCAGAAAGAACAAAAGCGCATTTTTCCACCTATACTAAGACATCTACTAGAACTCCTTGCTAACATAGAAATTCACGCGTCCCTACTTTGGGGTCAGAGGGTGTACATAGTGTTTAACTTCGCAGCATTCATGCTCGGAAAGTGTAAAGCGAGAGGACAGCGTGGTCCTGTCAGGTGAAGCCAGATAAATGTTAGTAGCTGGTGACCCTGAGACTTGACTGGTAGGGGAAGGAGAGCCACAGTAGAATCAAAACATGTCCCAGCTCCTTGTTGACAGCAGCTAAGCGACACAGCAGGGCACAGTGGCTGCCACATCCATTAGAGGATGTCTGATGCTTGGTTTGTAACTTAGGGGCGATTATGTGTGCACTATTTTGTTTAGGAATGGGAGAAATCACTAAATGTTTTCTTGAAACTCTGTGGATAAAAACAGAATTTTAAATGTTTATGCTCGGTGGAGAAATTAAGCACATTACAGCACCAGCTGCGAGTTCTTATTTGAAGGCCAAAAATAAAACTATGGGGATATTGACTGCTATGCAGCTGACAATGCTAAAGAAATATAAAATAAGCTCTGAAAAGCTCCCAAGGTTTCCGCTGGGTCTCAAACAAAAGGACTGCATTGCCATACCAGTGCACTGAGAAATTTGAAAGAAAGAGCATCAGAAGATACATTAAAAGCTACA